AAAAATTAGCGACACCCCCCCTCTAACGTGGCCTTTAGGTAGAGTGATCGAGGTGTATCCGGGCACAGATAAGATAGTGCGGGTGGCAAAGGTTAGGACCAACCAGGGAGTGTTCACTAGACCAGTTGTGAAGTTAGTACCGTTACCTACAGATTTGTAGGACACGATAGGTACTAATTAGATGTAATTCCGTCCACCAGTTTCCTTTGCACCCTTATACTCATCCGCTATGGCTGAGATCATTATGTGTTATAAACTGTAATTATTTGGTTTTACCAGCCATCACGCCTGCTTCTGGATGTTGGGCCGGTTGCTCCACCTCTGGATCCAGTGGGGTATGGCAATGTTTATTGTTTTTTTACTTTTGTTTATTTTCAGATATTATGTTGTTACTATATTGATATGTTTTTATGATGATAAAAAGAAAATAATGTAACTAAATTTTGGATAATTAATTTTGTATGTTATGTTGTTAAACATTGTTATTTTAGCTCGGTTAATACCGTAGATTTGTTATATTTCTTTGCAAAAAATAATGTTAAAAATGTTGTCCCCTTGTAAAGAAAACCCGATCATCGCTCTGGGCTGCTCAACTGTTCAACTGCTCAACCGCTCCGTTCAACTGCTCAACTGCTCCGTTCAAATGCTCAACCGCTCCGTTCAACTGCTCAACCGCTCCGTTCAACTGCTCAACCGCTCCGTTCAACTGCTCAGCTGCTCCGTTCAAGGCTCCCAGCTCCAACATCATTCAGAACAGATCGAACTTCTTATTCCAAGTTAGCTGGAACTTGCAAGGGGGAGTATGTTCGCTCCGTTTGATAACAGAATTGCCGCCGTCGGTGGTCACGCTCGACCGACCGCCGCAGTAACCATGTTCATGGGCGCTGCGCGCCGGCAGCCGCAATTTTGGCAACACTGGTAGACCGTTACCGGCTCTCGGTATTCGAGCTCGGACGTCCGCGTCTCGCGGTCGTCGTATGTGTATGCGTCTAGCTCGTCCGTACCGTTTATGCTCAAAACCACGTTTGGTCGCTATGCTCAACGGCCCGTCCATGGGCGTCCGCCATTGTTCCGTGGCAGATACAAGTTCGCTCGCTTTGCTGTAACCAGTTCGATTGGTGTTAAAATGGCGTTTACTCTCCGCTTTTCAGTTGCAACGAGTACCCGACCGCTCCGTCTACACCTTTTGTTCTGCTCGCTCGTCCGTCAGCCATCTTTTCCCGTTTGGGATAGTTACGGAAAACGTGTTTATTGTTTAGTGTTAAACATCGCGGTTGTTCGGCCAATTAACTCGTATCGCTCTTTTATTGACTGTCGTCGTCCAGTCTGCTCTCGTCAAGTTCGTGACAATCAGCTCCGAGTAGCTTTACCTACTCTACCATACTTCGCGTCCACGTGCGCGGTTGAACGCTCTTCGCTCCACGACACGACGGTGCACATGCTCGCACCCGTGTTCCAGATACAGCAGCTCCACACCTACAGTTCACCAGCTCAAGACATCGGCCAGGGAGGCAGCTCAGTCGGTGATCCCCGTTTCCCCCCTGACTTAATATTGTATTATTGTATAATTGAATTACCTACCTACTGTTCATGTGGTATACCTAACAATACATGCTCCTGATAGTTAGAAATCTCGTGTTATTTTTGAATCTTATAAATTGCCTTACTCTACAACAATCCCGAGGACCTCGTACCAGGCGATATCTGATCTTAAGGATCGCCGGGTCAACATAGTGACTTAAAATGGTGTAAAAAAACGTTCAAATCTTATGAAATAATTATTGTCTTACATTAAAATTAATATTTAATATCCAATAAATTGTCATATTATATATTATCTAGTATAGGTACTCGTATTGAACACGTTACAAATACTTTATTTCTATTGATAATATATCATGCCCTATAGTGGGCTCTGTGCAATAACATATATGTATAATATACAGCATAATATATATTTTGTTAGCTAGTTAGCTAATATTATTATAGAATAAACATAATACTGATAACAATACAATCTGAATGAGCGCCACTCACAGCAAGATTGACAAGAATTCTAAATGGCAAAACTATACTCTAATATAGAACATTCTAAAGAAAAATATAAAATTACTAAGCAAATTGGAGAAATTCAAATCCACGGAGAGCTTTATTACACATCATTTTTCTCGTAAAATCGCATGGTTTTTGATTTTTTCAATGTAACTTGTTGTTACATTTTTTTGGTCATTGATCAAAAGCTTAAAAATTCAATAATTTCAAATAAAACCAAATAAATTACATAACAATAATAACGTTTATTAGTATAAATACTAAATGTAGGTACACAATATTACGGAAATATAGCCATATATTTTATAATTTATAGGTAGGTATCAACTTTTCACATAAACACCTATAATAAATTCAAAATTAATCAGGCACGCAACTATCTAGGTATATCATAATTTATAATATTGTCTTGTGCAAGTGCAACACACTTTGCAAGAAAAATCCAATTCAGTTATAATGACCAGCTGGCAGTCGGTGGTATATATTATATAATATTATGCAATATTGTAGTATTTATTTCTAATGTTTCTATACATAACATAAGCTCCTAAGTGTATAAAATGTTGATAGTTTGTTGCATATAATTCGTAAGACCAGTGTCGCACAAACAATTTCTATTCATGGACAGTATAACAATTGTATCAACCCATCTATCCCTAAAATACTGATCTTGAAATGTAGTTACACACTTACACTCAAAAGTCGGTCAGTAATAAACTGACAACTACCCACTGTCCGGTAAGGAAGTACCCACCCACAGTAGTTAGGTTAATTATAAGTGGCAGTTCAAATAGTTTGATTGACCAACCCACCTTTTCAAACGACTGTGAAACAGATCTAACTAATTATATAATACCTATAAATAATTTAATGATATTCCTGTATTTAATCTCATTATAGCAGAAAGACTCGGAAGTATACTGTATTATCTTACCCATTCACCCACTCAATTTTCAAGGCGGTTCAATTTAACTATACCTGAAGTACGTGTTCGGCGCTGCTATACACCCACGCAACTTTTTTTCTTGGACACTATATTGTCCCTATTACTCCCTAAAATTCTCGGACGTGCCGCCACCGAGTAATATCGTATAAAAATATATTTTTTCCGCCTTGCTCACATTACGTGTTTATTACTATAGCTACTTCTAAACCTAATCCTACACGCATTTCATCATGTTTTTGCAGCTTCACGTTCCTTGCATGCGACAGACTGCGACTGACATGCGACTATGCGTTTGTGGACAACAAACCTTAGCGTAACACCGTCTTTTAATGTTTGATTTCTACCTGTGTTACCTGTATATGTGCCGATTGGAAAACTCTTCTATGCGGCGCTTAATAGGAACGTTAAATAAATTAAATATAAATGGCCGATATCGGTATTATTATGTCTATATATCTGCGGCTTAAGGTTTATACATTTATACCTTATTATCGCTATCTAGTGATATAATATAGTCGCAATGCTTTACTGTAAATAACATTCAGCCACAGCGAATATCTACTACGCTGCTATCTTGTTACATGTAGGTAGTAACATTTTCAAGCCAATAATCAATATAATTTGATTATATTCTATACCTGTTATATATTTTGCTGTGTAGTTTTTTTCAGTCTTGACATTCAAGTACGCTTGAAAAATTTCAATTTCGATTTCTTTTGAAACATAATATTATGTAGGAATTCGAACTTTACGTAGGTACCATGTATGTAGAGGATCTTGATTATACTCTTTTAACGCTATTCGCGCATTTCCTCGTTTTCCTTAATATTATTATTTTCAGACAAAAATATTAGAGAAAAACATAGAGGACTTTATATACATTTCGAGGTTTAAAAGTGTTAACGATTCCTGAACAATATTATAATATATTCCGTAAAGCGCATTATAGTTTTAAAAGTTTATACTTTAAAAACGATTTGCATATGAAACGTGTTATGCATGTCAAAGACTACCTGTATAGGTGCGGTATGACTGTAGCAAGTCTTAAGCTAGAAGATATTTTATTAATTATTATTTATAATATATACAAGAGCTTATATGTTATACGATACATTATAATACAATTAACAGACAATAAACGATTTTTTTTTTATTAAAACCGACGTATCAATAAATTAGGTGCGAACGAGGACACCCGGGGTAATTTAAATATTTACATTTTTATTGTGATGGCCTCGTTAGTCGTTATACGCATCTCTCTGTGCACGGACGACAAGAGAAAATATCAAAGGACCTATATGGCTGGCTGCCTGTCTGTATAATAAGATACCTGTGTAAGATCGATTGTGTTTATAAAATACATTATGTAGGTACTGTAAAGTGTAATATTATTCACGAAATTATGATATCAAACGCCGCGTACAGCTTTTGTATTGGCCGTTAGGCGTCTTAATATTTAGGTGATATTATATAGGCACAAGGTTGGGTTCTGGTCATAATTTGGGGCTATATAGCTGGTATACCTGATATATATAAAAATTGGGATCGTACATTTTTTCTCTACCGATATTTACACATGATGATAATATGTATACGGTCGGACGATTTTCCACGCTCGATTCATGTAACCTAACTGCCCACGTCCAAGCTTTTCGAGCTTAACAAGTGTGTGTTTTTCCGGCAAAGTCGGTTGTGCGCTTGTCCGCGCGCGATGCCGGCGGGTGGTATCGGCGGCGGCGTCCGCGGGTGGCACGATATACAGCGGGAAACGTGTATCATTCATTTTATCGAGCGCGCCCCCGTCCCCACCCCCCCACAACAACAACCACCGCCCCCACTGCGTCGTTCCCGTCCGACCGACCATGAATCTCCTCCTCGCCGCCCCGACCACCCAGGACCCGTCCCCGCCCGACATCCTTAGCGGCGCGGCGCTCGGGACACGACAGTCGTCCGGCGGTTCTTGGGCAAGTTGTGCCGCGCGCGTCCGTCCGGTCCGTACGCCATGCCTGCCACGGGATTCGTGAGTCAAGACCCTGTGGCCGAGAAAACCGAACAAGGCGATGTGTTATTCGCAAGTGAGTAGCGCAAACGTCGGGAAAACCCAACGACACGTTGTACAACAATAATAATAATAATGATATTAATACCATGCTCTTATAATTATTACAATGAGTGATTGTAATACTGATGTATGATATTATTATGATTATAATAATAATATCATTATTATATCATCCACCGCCCGTGCATGTCGTAGTCATAAACCTTATACTAAAGTATAATGGTCGTAGTCGAAATCCTTGAAAAACGTCTCCTAAATATCGTAATATATAAATATATTTTTTTTATAGTAACAATATGAATACGAAAATAGTAGATGACTTTGCTGAGAGAAATCGTTATACCCGTCAAGCGGCTTTTGACCATAGGTATTAAAGAATGGATAGACCATGGCTATATTCATAAAATAGAGGGTCGTGTGCCGGAATGGGGAAGAGAGAAAGACTGTTTCTTATGATTGTATCTCATTTTGGCAGAGGTCTTATCATAAATTATATACAATAATTATATATATATCTATTTGTGTTAAGACCTATAACCTCAACATTTTTTCATGTTCGTTTCCCGTATGATAAACACAAATGGCCTATCCATTCCTTAATATCTGTGCTTTTGACGTGCACGTTAATCGAAAATATAACAAATTTCATTTTTGTCAATATTTATCGATGGTTAACGTCTTTATGTTTACCCGGATTTAGTATCATTTAACGACAGGTGTTGCGGTGTTTAGGTGTGAAACATAATATTATAAAGGTACCTAATATATTTATATATAGTTATAGTGTACTGTGTACCTATGCATATTATTATAATTTATAATATACGTTTCATAAACGTAAAATGTATGAACATCGAAATTATATTATTTTATGTAGCTGTATATAGAAAATTAGTACACGGTTTGAAATACAATTAGGAACATTTATGAATAATGGATGTTCGTGGAACGAGGCGGATACTTTCAATCCGGTGGACGGTGGTAATTAAATTTAAATAAAGCTGGTATTTCAATTAATATTGAATACAAAATTATAAATTAGGAATTTATTTACATTTTCGTGAAATCATTCGATTTTTGAATTACTCGATTATTCACTAGGTACTACACTACTACTAAAATATTAAATAAATTTCTTAAATTAATATATATCACCATTGTAAAATAGCTCCTTACTGTTTAATCAAACGTTTAACGTTCTACTCATTTAACGTAACTAGAACACTTGTGATGTTTCTATAATATAAATGGAACATTCTAAACAACTTGTTGAAATTCTGAGAAAATGTGTGACTTATTGTAGTTTATCGATTTAAAAGGTTTAATACGTTTCATGTAAATTATGTGGAAATATGTACCGATATAATATTGTACTATATGAATTACGAATAGAATAAGTGCTCGACTTGGGGGTGGACGCAGGGGAGCGGAGTACACCCCAACACATTTTTCAGAAATTTTAGGGTACCCCTATATTATTTTTTAAAGGGAACTCACGGTACTCTTCATAATTCTGCATTTGTATCGAAATGAGCGAGTTACCATCATAATATTTCTTATAGATTATTTCATAATCACGGATTTATAAATTAGGTAATATAAATTAATTATTACTAAACTTTAAATTATTTACTTTTATTATGTATTATGTTGAGTTATTATGTACCTATTATGTTAACTTGTATTTATTTATTTTTTCTAAATTGATTACTTGTACATATTTTTTTATGTGACTTAAAAATGGGTATTAGGGAGTTTAGCCCCCACGGCTCAATAACTTTAAAAAGTGATGAGGAAGCCCTTTTTTTAAAAATAAAGTCCCCTCACTTTAATTTTACCAAGTTGAGCACTGTATAGAATTAGAATACGTTCTAAACTATTAAATAAACTACTAAATATTATTAAAATATTAATCTAATTGTAATAATTGCATATGTTTTAGTTCTATACATCCAAACCATACTAATTGCTAAACACTGTATAATTAATAGTTACAAAACGGGTACTGAGGGTTGGATTTATTCGTTTTCGGCAAGTTTGTACTCGTTGTAAGGTATTATAAAAGTTTAAATGTTAACACAAAATTACTTAAAAATAACAATTTTAATCCCCTGGGTCAAACAAATAATATGAATTCAAGTAAAATCACATTTTTAAATTGCATATTTTATTTAAAAAATAATAATTATTATTATTAGTAAATTTGCTTAGGTTGTTGATATGGTCTTTAGGATAGTTACTTAGATACTAGTATAATGCTTAATCTTTTTATAAATATGTAAAATTAAATAATTATGTTGTTACAATAGTTTTTAAGATTCCAAAATTACAGTTGGCAATATATTTATAAATTATAAATATTGATGTTTAAAATTTATACATCGTCAAAAGCGTATCTTTTTCATTGTATTCCATTATTCCACCCGGAATCAATATTGCTTAACTATTTTTTATATGTACAGTATAAAATTATTGTAAAATGATAATGTTAGGGAAATGTAAAATTTCTCAAGATAGTTGTTATATTAATGATATTTTTGGAATATAAAAAAAACCTCTGGTAATAGGTACCTAATACTACCTATTGCTTGTCAGAAATTAATTTAATGTTATCGTTATTTTATTCATTATTACAATATGTTCCATTTAAAAGTTAACTAAATTCATAAAAAAACTTAAACAGGTATTTACCTGTATAATATTTATTATTTATATTATTATAGATTCTGAGCGGAGCAATGATTGTATTGATTTAACGCAATGATGTGTTTTTTTTTGTTATCACCTTTTGGGGCCGTAACATTGCTTTGATTTTCTGCGAGTGTTTTCTGATAGAAAACTGCACTTTGGTAATTCGGTTGAGGGGAGGGAGGCTAAAAGTAATAAATTCACAGTAGTTTTAAAAGTAACTGGAAAAAACAAAAACAGATTAAGGAAAAACGGAAAACGGTAATTTACACGCAAAACCAGTATTCGACATACTCACTCAAAACAAATAACCGAAAACGAATCTAAGTCTTATTTAGATACTTCACATTTTTCCAAATTGTTAATATTGCCATTTTATATACATGAATTATTTATAGAATTTGAAATTTGAAATTCGTTTATTATTGAGTATTGACAAACTTTTGCTGTGCCCAAAAAACTTGAAATTTTTATATTAGGTCCCTCGTAAGTTGTTTTTATAGATAGTAAAAAATATTAAGGCATAGTTTATTTTTAAAGTATTCGAAGTTAAAATTTTGACAAAATTCGTAAAAATCACGAAAATGTACAGATAATTTTGTGATTGAAAATGTATATAATGTTCAATTTGTATAGCTAAAATTTGAAAATGTAATACAAGGTTTTTATAAGCAATTGATACATGTAGCCAAAAGATCTAAAACATATCGACAAAGTTTTTTTTTTTATAGACATTTTTAAGTCCAATTTTGGGCTGAAATACATATATTATTAAAACAAGAATAAGGATATTATAGTTATTATAGTTATTTTAATGTAATATAAAAATATTATTCGTTAATACCTATTTGAAAATTTTAATTTTTTAACGTATATTATTATATTTTATACTCACAATGACATTTTCTAGTGCAATTTTTTTGACAAAATTTTCATTCAACCTAACCATAACAGTAAAATAAATTACTTTAGTATACCTAGCAATATATCGTAAAATATAGGTACGTATTAATATAGATTATATATTATATTGACCGTCTTCTCTCAGATTTGTATTTCGTATGCAATGAACTCATCAATAAATATTAAATTATCATTGAAATCGAATTTAACACATACGTTACGGTGATTTACTTAATAATTACAAGTTATACACTTATACTCGACATCTAACTACTGCACAGCAGCTCGGTTACCAACTTTCTCCCTTTTTTATTTTCCAATTTGTTTAACTGCTAAAAAGATTGTACGTTGTAATTATTAGAGTTTTTAAAATGTAAAATAAATTACTAAAACATAAATAAATATTTATTTATTAACCTATTAAAAATATGTTAATAATAGTTGTAAGAATAGCAGTAAGTATTTATTCTTTTAAAAAAAATTGTGATTTTGTATTTTACGATTCAGATCTAGGGTAAGATTAAATCGTAACATATGTAGCCATAACAATATATATTTCGAGGGTAGTGCAGACTTTGATCAATTCTGCTATCCCTCCCATACCAAAGCATCCCTTCTCATCAATAAAACATGCCCACCAACCCCACGCACACCAATCAATCAATTGTAACTGAGTGTGATTGAGCTGTAATTTCCGCAAATCAAAAATAATTATACTATTTTATGTTCTGCGGTACTTAAATAATAATTTCCTTATGAATTTTAATAACAACGGAATTATAACATTTTAATTAAAATCCACTAATCTAAATTTACATCCTGTATAAACGGTATCAGTACAGTTTAATTTAGCTTTATAAACTGTTGGTTCGGAAATAATAACTATTATTAGTTTTATAGTCTGGATTTCATTCGATATTTAAACGATAGGCTCAAATGTCACGTTATGTTTTTATTTTATTAAAATTCTAGAAACCTTTTAGAAGATTGGATTTACCTAGGTATATTAAAATAAACTTTTTTACATTACTGAGCTTAAGTAAATATAATATGTATTGTACTTTATTAAGTTTGATCATTATTAGTATTACATAATCAATAATAGTTATTAGTGTTTGTCTTTGATTTGAGTTCTGTTTTTATTTTACAATTTAATTAATTATTATGTTTGTAATTAACTGTAAAATTACACTAAATAGTGTAAATTTTAAACTGAACAATATTAAACTCATTAAGATTGTTTTTAAATGTACCCTCTTTCTTTACGGAGGGTAGACACATAAAACGACAGATTTTTCGACAGATTTCTCGCATCACAGAAATAAAACAAGACAGACGTAGCGGTAAATTATTTGGTCACATTTAATCAACCTAATCGAATCTAACCTAACCTAACCACCGAAGTGTGTGTGGGCCTTAATATGAAGAAGTAATTATAATATTAATTATTTTTATCATTATTTATTATACGATGAACGTTGTAAACATTTTTTTTATAATTTTCGTTTATCAGTATTTAAAATGTCAAATACCATGATTATTTTTGTTATCAATTTGATTTCTCCGAAAGAAGTTTCAACACACACAATTTTTTTATCAGAATAACAAACATAAAAAATATTCTTGGAATTTTATTCATATAAATCTTCACTGGCTAATATTAGAGTTATTTGTAAAATTGCAAAATATTGGTACACATAATGAAATATATATTATATTATTAATTGTAAGATAGGTGCATTGGTGCATACTACAACTTATATTTTATAACATTATAAATTATATATAAACTTTGAATTTTTATTTGGCGGCCGCATGATTTAACATTGATTAAAATGTGTAATTACAAAATGTATTATAAATAGCATTATAAACGTAGGTATATTTAATAAAATACTATACGGTTAGGTTACCTAACCTAACCACAATTTATTGTGAAAAACAAAAAAATAGATGTAGGTATAAAATGTGTTGTGATTTAGAAATCACAGAAGTATATTTTCAAAGTATTATAAGGAAGGTATACATTTGATCAAACTTAGTATAATATAGTTAACACTTATCATCACAATCCGTTTTATTTAATAAAAAAATGATTTAATTTCAGATTATGGAACGACTGAAATGTTGTATACAGGAGGATGTGCAGTTATGGTATTGGGAATTTTAATTGCCGCATGTCATATTTGCGCAAAGAAAAAATTGTTATGGTTCAAAAACAAAAGCAAACTCCCTACTGCAGCATCAGAACCACATTTGGCATTTTATCATCGAAAGCCGACCACAGCCGTCAAGGCCGTCAAAAACCCAACTGGATCACATTATTTGAAAAAAAGCCCAAGCCCTACAGGCAGCAAAACCCCTGTTGTAATAATACCTATTCTTATGAAGTATTCTTTATTGTACATACACTTATTCTAATATTTGATTTTTAAGGGTGATGGAAGTATAAGCCCCACCGGATCAGAGAAAACGTCTAGACATTCACCAACTATAAGCCCAACCTGTGAACAAAAAACTGTGCAGCCACCAACACACACGTTGTCGTAAGATAAATATTTTTTCATTTACTTTTTAAATGTTATTTCAGAAAACAGGGGAATAGCTCATTTAATATTAAACTGATTTATACAATTATTAACATTGGGTGCATCTGTAAATTGCTAGAAAACATTTACTTTTCAACCTTAAACTGTAAAATAATTTAAGATTATACACCCGAGTGTATCAGAAATTAATTGTAAAAATATCTTTTAAAATTGAAAATGAGTAGAAGAATGAAACCATAAAGGTACCTAGTATAGATAAATTAGCGATACACATAATAGTTGTACATTGAATTATATTAATATAGTTTTTGTGGAGAAAAACACACAAAAGATTGAAAATATTTATCAACTTCAAGGATAGTTTATTATTAGTTTATAAGCTTTTATATTGGCGAGGAATAAATATGTCTTCAACATAAAGCATATTAGATAATATCTTATAAAGTTTAACTTATAACTTATAAGCAAAGTAAAATTACAAGGTCTTGGAGTCTAGAAAAGACAATTTTACTTCTACATTTTATTGATTTGAATTAGGTACTATAATATTATACATTTATACCTAGGAACTTAAATATAAAAACTAGTTGATCATGTCTAAAAATATATTTTGAAGTATGATGGTTGAGAAGTACTACAAACTTTTTGGTAAAATATAAAATAATAACAATAGTATAACGTTTCATTTATTGCTATCAAATATTATTTATTTAATTTTTTATGCCTAAATCATTATCAGTTGACAGTATTTTTTACTGATTTATATAATATAATTAATAATTGTAAATATATAATATATAAATAATGCTGACAGGATCGATCAAAGGGCTGATCAAATTTCGAACTAAAAAAAGGTGGCAGTAATTTAGGGTGACATTTTTTTCAATTAAATTTTTATTTACGTTTTGACATTTGATTATTGTTATGTGGCATCGAAAAAGGTAATAGAAGTTGGAACATATTTGGCACAGTGTGATTATTACTCTGTATATGCTATTTATTTTGTTTTAATTGTATATATACCTATTATATAGGTATATATTTTAAAATATTATATAATTATATTATGTTATATTTATAGAGTTGTCCATGAGAATGAAACAGATAATAAGTTATCATCGAAAAATAATCAGTCACAAAACGAAACCGGCCCAAATGATACACCTGGTAAAATGGGAGTACTTTTTTTCAAACTTCGGTAAGTTTACAAACAAGTATTAATTATTTTATATGAATTTTACCGCAAAATCCATCACCTATTAACCCATTTCACTTTTGCATCGATTTATTTTGTTATTAATTTATTGAAGCAAGACTTAATGCATATTATAACCAGTTTTAATTGAGTGTTTACTTAGTTCTATTATACATAAAGAATAAAAATGGTGTTAGTGTACTTTCAAAAATATATTCATGTTATTATTATGAAAAGCTAACAGTCACTTAATAAAATTGATTATAATATATTATTAAAGGGTCAAAGAAAATATTAATTAAAAATGAAGTGGGTATCTTTTATCCTTTTTTATTAATTTATTTTATTATAATATACAAAGTTTTACTGACTGCACTATCATAATATAAACTTATTCATAAGTAATACATTTGGGACATTCACTAAGAGCCTTTTATCTTAATAAAACTTATATTATTTAACGGTTACTGCTCGAAATTATTTTTAACAAAGTAATAGCAAATTTTTGTTTATTTTAATTAAGGCACTATTTTATATTATGAGTTATAACAACGTAACATCTACACTTTTGAATAAAAGAAGAAAATATAACCAACACCAGAATAATTTAAATTAAATTAAATTATTGGTTGTGAATAATACATACAGGAGATCTAGAAAATGTTGATTATAAATTGCAATATTAACATTTTAAATGAATAAAAATAAAGTAGGTACCTACCTGATTCATTTTCAATTACTTTTTTTATGTGACAAAAAAACAGTGAAAAACTTGAGTAAATAAAATATTTTAAACTTGGTTTAATGAAGTTATATGGTAAACATATGGAAGTAGTTATCAAAGGTATAAAAATTATATGAAATATTGTTTTTCTGGTGAAAATAAGAAATTATTATTATATCTTCAATAAAACTTTTAAGAATAAACATGTTTTAGGTACAAAAAAGACAAAAAAGTTCTTCTGGTTAACATAAACAAATGCATGGACTTAACACCTAAAGAGAAAAATTCTGGCACTAGCGATCCTTACGTAAAATTGCAGTTATTGCCCGATAAGGAGCATAAAGTTAAGACACGAGTATTGAGGAAAACAAGGAATCCAGTGTATGACGAAGACTTTACATTCTTTGGAATTCAAACTAATAAGCTTCAAGTGATAAGATAATAATATTTTAGTTTTACTATTTGCTTATAAATTACCTATACTAAAAGACAATTTTATTTTAGTCTATGACATTGCATTTCGCCATTCTGAGTTTTGATCGTTACTCCAGAGACAGCCTAATTGGTGAAGTTTTCTTTACATTGAATGAAAAGGATGTGTTGGAATCGATTGAAAAAGAACAAATTTCTATTCAAAAGGATATCATACTTCGCAGTGTTAAAGTATGTGCAATGATAAGATTATTATTTATCATTTCAGTTGAATCGCGTTACATCAACAAATGTCGTTTTTAATTAGTTTTTATTAAAAACTTGTGGATTTTTTATTTGAAAGTTGATACAAAGATTACAATGTTGTTTTATATATTGGTTTTTAGCAGTCACAAATCGCCAATCGAGGAGAATTATTGGTATCCTTATGTTGGCAACCAGCAACCAGAAGAGTAACAGTTGTTGTGCTGAAGGCTAGAAATTTACCTAAGATGGACCTAACTGGACTAGCTGGTGTGTTTTAAAATTAAAATAAATTATAAATTATCTTAGTAACTTAGTCCATTTTATATAATACAATATAAATGATGGTAACACAATATTGTAAGTTGAAAAAAATTTGTTACCCATAAAATATCAAATCATCCTATCATAGTTCAGCATCAAATTAAATCTAAAAATATTGCTTTCGTTTTAATTGTTTTATACAGCTTTAATTAAAAAATGAACTTTGGACTTTAAATATATTATTTTAGAGGTGCCATGCAACATTATTTAAAATGTGGTTTTACTGGTTATATATATTTCATGTAATAATTTTATTTTTAGATCCATTTGTGAAGATTAATTTCTTAGTTGACGGAACACGCATTTCAAAGAAACGGACTCACATGAAGAAACGTACATTGAACCCTGTTTATAATGAATCATTTGTGTTCGATTTGCCTTCGACCGTTGTTGATCTACATAATGTGTGTATTGAGTTTTGTGTTTTCGATCACGACAGAGTCACTAAAAACGAAGTAAGTTATTTCAAAAAAAAATCTAGTTTGTTCCAATAACATATTTTTAGATTCTGAGTGAACAATGAATGTATTGATTTTACAATGATGTGTGTTTTTTTTATTTTTGTGCCTGTGTACACGATAAGTAGTCGAAATAATGCTTCGATTTTCGACTTCAATATCTTGTTCGATTGGAGAGTGAATATCGTTGATGCATTGGGGAGGTCAAAATTTAAAATTCCCAATAGTTTTCACAAGCGCCGGGAAAAACAACATAAAAATGAAGGAAAAACGGGAATTTTTACGCAAAATAGGTTTTTGACAAAATCGAATTTGGTTTTTGGTGTAACTTTAAAACAAATGACTGTAGGAACATGAAATTTTGACTGGTTGTTTATATTTGCCTTTTCTATACACGATAACATTTTCAAAATATTTTGATTTATTATGAACTGTTTAAGGACATTTTCATTTTCCATTTTTTTTTAGTTTTTTTTCTAAAAATATCAATAAAACTTTGTTTGTTGAGTAGAAATACTTGAAAATTTAATACAAGGTTCCTACTATATTGTTTCAAAGGCAGATGAAAAATATTAAAAATCGTTAGTCACAGTTTTTTTTTATAAGCATTTAAAGTTCAAAAATTGACAAATCATGAAAATTAGCAAATTATTTTGAGTTAAGTATTCGTAAAAATTTTTCTTTTTAAATCTAAGATTTGAAAATGTAATACAAGATTACTCATAAGTTTGTCTACCTTTATCAATAAAAAATCTCTACCGGACAGTCAAATTAAATTTTTATGAGCGTTTGAAATTCAAATTTTTACAACATTGGATGTTCACTCGATTTCTCATGTAGCGATTTCCTTATTTTATTGTTATTCATAAGCGAATAACTATAGATACATGATAATTTCACTGAATATTTGTATAAGCATTTCCTATACACCATACAATTTTGAAAATATTTTGACTCTTTTTGAGCTGTTTACGGATATTTTCATTTTTAAATTTTTTTAGTTTTTTTTTCTATGAATATCAATAAAGTTTTATCTGTTGGGCCAAAAAGTGTAAAAATTTAATACAAGGCTCCTGATATATTTTTACAATATCAGTTGAAAAATATTAAAAATACATTCGCACAGTTTTTTTTTATAAGCATTTAAACATCAAATTTTAACAGAATTTTTCAAACTCTCGAAAATTATTAATCATCGTAATTAATAAATTATAAAATAATCAGTTTTTATAGCTAAGGATTTAAAATTTAAAACAAGATTCCACGTAAGTAGTTAATTCTTTTACCAAAAAATCTAAAAAATATACAATCACAGTTTATTTTTATAGTCATTTTATGTTTAAATTTGGACGAAATTACACATTAAAAAACCTAGTTATTTTGTTGTGATTATATAATATTATTCATGGGTACCTACTTGAAACTTCTAAAGTTTACTATTATATATCAATGATAGTATCAGGATTTGTTATTGATGTTGATGTATAACGTGTTATAAGTACCTAATGGATATTGTGATAATGTGATATGATTAATTTGGAATTTATTATAGGTCAATTTTTTTTTTTAATACCATAGATATGTATATAATTTGTCTTAAACCTAGACTGACATACCGTCTTCGCTCAGAATCGTTTTTCTTATACAATGATATTGTATCATTGAATTCAAATTTAATACCATCCATTATACAGTGACCCACTTGTAACCTACAGTACAGCAGATCGACATCCACTTACCCACCTTTTTTCACTTGTAATTCAGTTTTTTTAATAAATGTTTAGTACATTTTACTTTAAAGGGTTAAAAATGTAAAATGCAGTTTTAAAATTATTACTTTTATATATAGTTAAAATGTTTTTAGATTATCGGACGAGTTTTAATGGGACACCCGGACAATCCATCTGTTACCGCTGAACGTCACTGGAAAGAAGTAATGAATGCTCCGCGAAGGCAAATTGCCGATTGGCACAAATTGGTTGTCTGAACCATCAACGAACCAAGAAAAAGGATATTGCAACAAGAATAAATAATGTTATCTATACTCTTCCTATAATTTTTGGTTTTGATTTCCATTTTGTACCAAAGTTTACCTCTATGTATGGAAACAATCTATCATAGTCATTTCCAAAATATACTCTGTACATTGTCCAAACGTATAATTGACAATATGGCCCAATATATATTTATATGTCCATTTTAGACTTTATGTTAAATTAAACATTCATAGGGCATGTTATTGGTAAACATGAATCGACACAAAATGTGAAACATACTGTTTAGTTTTATTTTATTATTGCCGAACATTTGAACCAATCTATTGACAAATACAAACAGGGTGTGTTAAATGAAAAACAAACGAACAAATAAGATAAGATGAAAATAAAAATATAACAATATCGAATTGTTGAAGATGGCAAGGTAAATGTGCAGTCTACATATTTTGTCCAACTTATGACTATTAATTTTTTTTTATCTCTCAGCCAATTTAACATAGCATGTTTTAAAATCCATCTTGTTTAATTTGTTTTTAATATAAAACAGCTTGTGCATGAGTTTATAACATTTAGTGTTATTGTTAAGACTATAGGTATGATGTAATGTAGGTAAGCTAAGTTGTCATGCAAACAACATTATATTCACAATGTGCTATTACACTAAATATATATATATATATATATAAAAACAACATTTATTACAAATAATATACCTAGATGTATAAATTATTTATCCACCGTATTTTTTCGTTTATAAAATGTTTAGAGGATGATTAATTCTTGAGCGTGCGCACACACAAACACACACACTCACACACACACACACAAACACATTCACACACACCTCAAAATAAATGTGTGTGGAAAAGTATATATAGGTACTATATACTACTAAACACTCCAAAATATATTATTGCATTATGCATAATAACAAAAAATATGGAAGTATCAATTATTATAATAATAATAACATAATTATATATATTATATAGCTGTTTATTTGATAATATTATTATACATTTTTTGTAGTCATATCTAATATTTACAATATCATTTTTATTATTATTTTTTTATTAATAGCAATTATATTACAATTAATAGCTTAGAATAATTAAAATTAAAAATATGTTAAAGGAAATAGTATTTATAATAGATTACAAGAGTTCATGTTTTATTTGTATTATAGGTACATAATATAAGTTGAATAAATATAAAAATAATTGTTTAAAAATAGTTTTTTAAACAATAAAGCATTACCTATATTAATTAGTTTGTGCTTCTTCTTCTACAAGTTTAATGTACACCTACTTAGATATATTATTTTTAAAACAATATCCTATTCAACATGTTAGGTATAAATTAAAAAAAAAATCATTTAATGTTTCTTGGTAATTGGTATTTTGTTGTTGTACATAACATAACACATATTATTATAAAAAGTTTAGTAGTATTATTATAATAAATATAGTATACAATGTATTAGAAATCAAAGTAGGTAGTGATTTTTATTTTAAAGTAAATAAAAAATTGTAGTGTTTCATCGTTAAGGCTGGTGTCAAATAATAGGTTTTCGTCGTTGAATAATACAATACAATTGTAATCAAGTAATAATATGTTATAGTGGCGATCATACCCATTTTTGGGGTTTTACTAACCAATTCGTTTTAGCATTCGAATGCTTTATACCTAATACGATATATTATTTTAATTAAAACGACCAAAATGGCGTAAATAGGTACCATCTATATTCGGTCTCGACGAAGGTGAACATTATGAAGATGCGACGCATATATTCCCGAGCCATACAATATGATTCGTTTTTTTAACTATATTATAGGCGAGATTTTATGCTAATCAAATGATATTAAATGTAGGTATACTGTCACAATAATACATGCACAGCAGCAGTTGATCAACGGTAACAAAATTAGAGAGGAAATTGATATCGGTTATGTTAATAATTGTGCAATCGTATCCTGTTATATTATGTTTTGTTTGTTTAGTTAATAGTTTGGGCAAGCCAAGCGCGTTTTGCTTTTTATCTCCGTAATCGAGGAAACGTCAACTCGCAAACGGACAAACACAGACGGATGTGATACTGCGGCCTGCGCTCCACCACGACGACGGGTCGACAGAAATTATTAATCACTTATAATTCGGACCATGTAGTCTGTTGTTTCAAAATTATTGTTTGCATTCAGTTTATGGGTCATGATTTGAATAAAAGTGGTAGAAACGTTATTATTAATATCACCATTGTAACTATTAATGAACAGCGACAAACTGGTTCGATTTTTTACGCCATCTGCTATCTCGAATCTCGATTCATAATATTAACATTAATAATATATAATATTCGCATAATATAATATTAAAAATTAAAAATATTAACATAGGAAATAATCCATCATGACGTCCATATTTTAATTATTCGGTGTCTGGTGTGTCTATATAGTTGTGCTTGTGCCCATAGGCCCAAATAGAGTTTGGGATTTGGGAGGGGGGGGCTAAAGCCTTACTTTGATAATATTGAATAAGCTCAAAACAAAATGTAGGAAATGTTTGGGGGGGCTTAGCCCCTAAAGCCCCCCTATTTGCGCCTATGGTTGTGCCTGTGTACAACAGTGGCGTATTTAGGAATTTGTCATGGGGAGGGTCCAGATAATTTTCAGAACACAGAGCCACGGGGGACGAAGCCCCCACACCACCCATTTACTCTTTATTAAATAAAATATACCATATTTATAAGACGATATAAAATTGTCGAGTTTTTAATTATTAAATAATAATATGTACAAAACAAATTTAAAAAAAAAACGGGTGAGTGGATGTCACTCTGCTGCTGTACAGTAGGTTACAAGTGGGTCAATGTATAATGGATTGTATTAAACTTGAACTCAATGATATAATATCATAATATCATTGTATAAGAAAAACGATTCTGAGCGAAGACGGTTTGTCAGTCTGGATATTTTATATTGTTATTATTTATTATAGCCTGTAAGTTGAATTAATAATGAAATACTTTTATTTTTTATTTTTTCTATGGTGATAGACAAAGTGTTAGAAATTAAAATCCCATTTTTAGCGGTTTTTCGTAATTTTTTGGTGGTTTTTACAGTGGCATTAAATAACTATTGAGAAAATCGAAAAATGACCTCTCTAAAGTACTATCTTGATCCAATTTTCTAAAAGATAAGTTACTATATGTTTATACATGTTGAAATCGAAGCACTCCTTCTGGAAGAAATTTTGTATACAGGAAAAAAAAATAAACACCATTGTAGAACCAATAGATCCCTCAGAATCGAATATATAGTTATATGTTATAACTTTTATACAAATATTTCCTTAATTACATTAGGGACCTACTTCATTCATAGTTGATCTTAGATAGCTTTTCAACCTTAAAAAGTTTGAAAAAGATCTCTCTGGAGTGGTTGTAGATACTGGCAATGTACAAAACTACAAAATATTTGAATTAAAAAATGAATTTGGTATTTTTCAACCATTTTTGGTACCCAACTGATAAAAATAATCACGATATTTATTGAAAATGTTGATTTAACTATAGCTTCGAAAATTTTTTATACAATCCGTAAAATTGTATGATAAAGTTCGTTTTTTAATCATGTAAAAACTGCATAACATTTAACATGTACGAGACACGAGTCAATGGGAGGGGTCCGGACCCCATGGACCCCCCCCGTAAATACGCCACTGGTGTACAACTATGTGTATGTACAGCTATCGTCTATCTGTATGCCAAATTTCAGCCCGATAGGCGATCCATCCAGTGGTTTGAGTTGTGCGTTGATCGATCAGTCAGCCAGTCCATCAGTCACGTTATCCTTTTGTATAATAAATAGATAACTGATAAGTAGGACTGAGGATCTAGTTTTTTCATATTAGGTGTCTAGAAAGGTCACAGAACAATGTGAATGATGTATAAATATGTTTAATAACACTAGTAAGTTACACTGAAAATTATATTTTGCATATTATTGTATCACATATGTCGTTATTGCATTTATATGCTTATTTGAGTATATTAGAAAAAATAAGTATATATTTTGCCAGTTTTCAATCTAATAAAGTCAGTTCGGTCAAATAAGAACATATTTTGAAAAATTTTAAGCTTAAAATAATATTATGTTGGTCTTTGACAAATTAAGAGCTTAATATTATTATTTACCTATACATTTGGAAAATTGAAAAATATTTTAGTGCTAGGTAGGTTAAGTACACCATTCAAACTGTATTTTTATATTTTGGTTTTCATTTTAGTATAGTTTAAGTACCAAAAGTCATGTTATAAATTTTTTTTAAATATTTTAAGTGCATAAGTAATATTATTAATTGTTGTTTTTTTAGCGCACAAGAGCATAGTGCATATTTTCAGGTTTATAAGTGCTAGAAGTCCTCAACCTCCCAACCGATAACAATACATAGGACATAGGACGTGTACTGCAATAGTATAAACAGTGGTACCGATCGGTACCTACCGTTCAAGAGCCAAGAAATCAAATCTGAAAAACCAGCCAAGTGCGAGACAGGCTCGCTAACAAAGGGTTCCGTACCTGTGTCTACAAAAACGTCAAAAAAATCATGTCTTTTGTATGGGAGCTCCACTTAAATATTTATCTTATTCTGTTGTAGTATTGGTCGTTAAAGCGGCAACAGAAATATAAAATATTAACGTCTGTACCGTACGGAACCCTAAAAAACAACTGACGACGACGGTGGGCCTCACGTTTACACCGGTAGAGGGCGGTGGTGCAACGGTGTTTACAGAACAATCGTATGCGGTGCTCCCGCTGTGTCGAACGAGGCAAACGCACATATTATTTATACTCGCGATCAACCAGTTGTCTCTGCCTGGGACTGGGTGCGGCGGCGAGACGTCAAATCGGCCGTATGGCTAACTCCTGTCGACGGAGAAAGGCGGATTGTGCTCAGGCCGAGTGGTGTGGGTGTTCGGTGGTGGTCC